TCTTCTTTCATTACCATCAGTTCTCGATCATCTGCTACCTCCTGAAATGGTTGAATGTCACCTAATTCTCTTTGGTACAGTACCTCTGTATATTTCTTTCATCTTTTTTCCTTTGCAGTCAAAACGGCTTTATTGTGCAAAGTCTGCATATGTTATATATGATGTATATGATGTATAGCAGAAATAACCTTTTGTTAATCCTTGTTTCTCTAAAATTTTCTATGGAAAGCAAAAACTTAACTTCCTGACACATCCTCAGATAGTACAATTTTATAATAGAATGTTTAATAGTTGTATCACTGATAAATACCTTGAGACATGTGGTATAAAATTGAAACAAGATCAGAAAAGTGTGGGGGGAAGACCACTGCCAAAGAGTAATTTCCAAAAACTTGGTATTTTCCATGATAAAACAGAAGCTTTTGGGTCATTGATACTTGGTTTGATAACCTGAAGCCATTCATTAAAATACCCAACGAGATCCAAGGCATCTAGAATACTGTCATCTTTGGAAACAAATTTCAGTAGAACTGCCATTGGGATTTCTCTGCAACAGCTAAACTGAGACTAGACTGGAGCAGAAACTGGAACAGACCTTTAATCATGGTATGCTTTTGTGATACCACCTCCAGGGATCCGGACACAAAACTCAAAATCCTCGATTCTGGGAATGCACTGACTGTTTTCTGTTTCTTCTCAGTTAAGGCTCTTTGTTTTATTTCGAACACTTTTTTGAACAGAAGGTATAAGTAGGTATTGGAAAGAGTACTGTAAAGCTATAGATGACTGCAGTGGTATGAATGAATGCTTTAAAGTGCAACAACTTGGACACAGGTAGTTACTATTTTTAACCCAGGAAAGCAAGCTTTTCACAGAATGCCTTGAATATGAACTTGATAAAAATGGATCTTAACTGAAGACCCCCTAGCTTCCTTAAAGACCGTAAGCATACCTCAGGAAAGTGAAGCCTGTTCCATGCAGGGCACAAACAGCCACAGTTTGGAGGTAGTCGAAAGAACAGCCTCACACCGTCTACACACACTCAGTTGTCCTTAGAGGTGGGAACAGAAAGCTCTTCCATCTTCTTTTGATGCTTCCTGCATCATTCAATACCCACCCCCCGCCCTAGAATCCTTTAATATTGCAAGACTTGAATTTTTACTTCCGTTAGAAATTTCAGCTTGAGAAAGGCTGAGCATGTTCTTCGTTTCTAGGTTTCTAACTCCAGGTCTTATGCATATTTTGTTAAAATACTTAGTCTTCTCAAGCTGCCCTTGGAAATTTTCTGTTCAGCTCTTTTACCTCATCATTGCTCCCATTCTCTTTAGCTACTCTGCATTAAAGAGAAAGTGTTAGGGGCTTTTCACTTATTCACTTTGGCCTTTTCTTTCATTTCTGTCTTTTTAATGACCTTTTGCTTTCTTCGTGTATGTACTCTTGATGTCATCCCACAAATCCTCTCATCTTCGGTCATTAGTGCCTAATGCATCAAATCTGGTCTTGAGATGGTCTCTAGAGTCAGGTAGGATATACTCAAGATTGTATTTGGCTTTCTTCAGCTGACACATGAGCAATTGGTTATCCATTCCACAGCTGGCCCTTGGCCTTATTGTTCTGCATGATGATTTTGAGCCTCTCCAACATTTCTTTCCACAGATGTAGTCAGTTTGATTCCTGTGTATTCCACATGGTGAGGTCCATGTGTCAAATGTCTGTTTATGTTGTTGAAGAGAAGATCTTTGCAATGAAGAAGTTGTTGGTCTTACAAAATTCTCTCATGCTATCCCCGCCTTCATTTCTAACACCAAGGACGTATTTTCCAACTCTTGATCCATCTTCATTTCCAACTTTCACGTTTCAATCAACAGTAATTATCAATGCATCTGAATGGCATGTTTGATCAATTTCAAACTGAAAAGTTGGTAGATTTTACACATCTTTCTCTCGCTGAATGGCTGGTAGTTTTGAACTGCTGACCTGAAGGCTGGCAGACTGACTCATAACCACTGTGCTACCACAGCTCCTTATTGGAATATTTGTTGTTGTTGCCAAGTGCTGTCGAGTCAATTCCGACCCATAGCGACCCTGTATAGGGTTTCCAAGGAGCAGCTGGTGAGCTTGAACCGCCAACCTTGCAGTTCAAACGGCTTTGCAGTCTGGCGCATTAACCCACAGTGCCACACCAGGGCTCCTATTGGAATATGGAATGCATGAAATATGAACTAGGAAAATTGGGAATTGTCAAAAATTAAATGAAATACATAAAAATCAATATCCTAGCATTAGTGAGCTGAAATGGACTGGTATTACCTGTTTTGAATTAGAAAATCATATGGTTTACAGTGGCGTTTTGGTGTGGACTATAGGGATAAATACTCAACTGCAAGGTCAGCAGTTCAGACACTCAGCAAACCACAAATAGTAGGGAACCTCCTTAACATGTAAAAGGCATTTGCCAAAAACCCACAGCTGACATACGGGTGTGTGTTCTTGACTGCTTTCTACTGGTTTTTGCTATTTTTTTTTTAATTGAACAGTGGGTTTTGCGTATAAAAGGATATTAGAGATTGAGAAATATGCAGCCCTGTTCTTCTGATAGATCATTACTGTGGACAACAACTGAATCAATTTGAATACTCGAACTGGATTCAGGTTTTATGGTAGGTTATAGTTCCCACGAGATGGATTGGCCAAGTGGCAGCATCAATAGACTCAAGCGTGGCAACAGTAGTGAGGTTGGCCCAGGATCGGGCACTGTTTCGTTCTGCTGTGCATAAGGTCGCTATGGGTCAGTACCGACTCGATGGCACCTAACAACAACAACATAGTTCCCTGCAGCGTATCCAAATGAAAAACCAGAACCATTGCCATCATGTCAGCACCAACTCAGTGACCCAATAGAGCAGAGAAGAACTACCCCATAGGGTTTCCAAGAGTGCTGTGGCTGTCTTGGAACAATGCACTGGATAATGGTGGGATAATGCACTGGACTGCAATGTCAGTTTGAATCGCAAGGTCAGTGGTTCAAGCTCACCAGCCACTCCCTAGAAACCCTATACAGGGTCAGTATGAGTCAGAAATGACTAGAAGGCACTTAACAACAACAACAGTTTCACTTAACATCATGTCATCCAGGTTTAACCATGTTGTGAGGTGTTTCACAGATTCATCATTTCCTTTGACGTTTGGTAATACTCGTTTTATATATGTACTGAAGTTTAACTATTCTTCTGTTGATGAGCATTTAGACTATCTCCATCTTTTTGATATGCCTCTTGTAGACAGCACATTAAATGATCCTATTTTCTTATCTGTTCCGCTCTTTATGTCTCTTGACTGGTACTTTTAATCCATGTGTAATCAGTGTAATTATCAATAGGTATGAAATTGATTGTAATTTTCCTGTGTGTGTGAGTTTTTGTGTAATTTTCCTGTGTGTGTGAGTTTTTGTGTGGGATTCTTAGTCCCACATAATTTTCTATGCTGAGTTCATTTTGGCTGTGGGTTTTCACCTGTAAGTTGTTTGTCTACATGGTCTCCCACATAACTCTCAGGCTTTTTTCAGATTTTCCTTTTTTCTGATGGTTCTTCTAGCATACTAGTATTGAGAGATTCATCTTCATGCTCACTAGTTTGGGCTTCCATTGCTTTACATCTATTCCTTTGTCTTTTCATTGTATTACCCATTTCTGAGATCTTAGTGTTAATCTTTTGGATTTCTAATTGCAGGTTTTGTATTGTTTCAAAATTTACATTTATTTTATCTGTTTGTCCTTATAGTGTTTTCCTGAATTCTTCTAAAGCTTTTGTTGTGTTCTCCTTACTTTCCTCAGTCTTTCTATTGATCCCTTGAAGGTACCTAATTATCATTCTTTTGAATTTTTTTCAATAAGTTCTATTACCTTTTCTTCCTCGGAAACATCTTCTGGCTCTGCATCGTGGTCACTTGTTAAAAGCTTTTCTCTCTTGTTTCTTCATGTGAGCTAAAATTGTATGTTTTTTCTGGGACATTGTGGGTTGTTGTATTTGTAAAAAACAAACAGTGCAGTTGTTGGACCCGGAGGGGAGAAATCAAAGTGTTCAGGAGGTGGTTGTGGAAGGGATATGACAGCAGAGTTCCTGGCACTAGATGGTGTTCCTATTGGCCTCTGTGTTATCAGTGTTCAGGGCACTCAATTTGGAAGTAATTCATGGGGGCCCTTGATGGAGTTGGTTTCAGTGTCTGTTAGGACCACCTCACAGAGAAGCCAGCAGCAGTGTGGCTGGTTAAATACTGGAACCTCGCTATACTTGTGGTCACCAGGGGAGCGTGAGAAAACAAAGGAGAAATCACCTCTTTTCCATTGCCCTCATGAATCTGCTCTGCCAGGCCTCTATCCACTGCCAAAGCTGCTCACAAGATGGTCGAGTTGCATCTGGGCAGCCAGTCCCCAGTCTTCTTCTCTTGCTGTCTCTGTTTGGCTCGACCCAACAAGCACTCCATCACTGCTCTAACCTTTCTTCTGAAGGTCAGGGAGCCAGAATTTTTATCTGTATCTGTTTTATCTTGTCTCTCGTATCTGTGTTGTAGAGAATCCATGTAGTGCGTGTGCCTAGTCTACCATCTTGCCAGAAATGTAGTAATAATTTTTTTAAATTGATTGGTTTGATCTGTTTCTAGACTAGATAGTGTGAATCAGGTTTGAAAAAATATTTTTTGAGTCTTTCAGAACAGTGATTATATAATATCTTTGGAATATCTACTTCAGCATTAAATAAATCAACATTTCAGAAGAAACTTGCTTTAAAGTGAATGTATATGCTGTTGTTGTTGTTAAGTGTTGTCGAGTCAGTTCCGACCCAGAGCGACCCTGTATAGGGTTTCCAAGGAGAGCTGGTGAGCTTGAACCACCAACCTTGCAGTTCAAACAACTTTGCAGTCTGACGCATTAGACCATAGCGCCATACCAGGATTGTTTCAAATATGAGAACTAAATACTTAGTCTTTCTTTATGTTACAGGTATTGGTGGTAATTTGGTAGCCATTCAGGCTAGCAGGATATCTACATACCTCCATTTACACAGCATTCCAGGAGAATTGCCTGATGAACCCAAAGGTTGTCACTACCCATTTAGAACATTTTTTGGTCCAGGTATGTGCTTATAAACTTTTACACAGTTTGCACTGAAAACTATTACTATCTGAGAGTGTAAGTAGGCAGCATTTGTTGAATACCTATTTTTTTGTGGGGTCTGGGGGGTGTATTGTAGTTTTTTTGAGAGCTGATCTCAGTGAAGAAAAAGTCATTTGTAGTAATTCGGCAGTTGCTGAAAAATTTGTATTGTTTTTCACTTTTATCCCTCTCTCTGAGGTACTTGTTTATGGATCAGGAGAGAGGAAACTTATGCACACAAGAAAGCATTGCTAGGTAATTTAGGGAGACAGATGTACTGCCTTTTATATATTAATCTTGGAGATCTTTATAATTATAGGCGTTCAGTCCCAAGCAGTGTTATCAGTAACACTGTATTGCTGCTTTTACCAGGCAGGCATATAGTTTCCAAAAACAAAGACCACAATATCTAAAGCTCAAAATTATTGTCACTTTTTTTCTTGATGAAAATAAATGTGATTACTGATTTTTGAATTAAGATCCCAGAGTCTTATTATATCAGCAATAGAATTCTAAAGGAATAAATGCAGTTAAAGCATTACTATACCTTAAGAATTTTATGTTCTTTCTTCTGTCTTTCCTCTGTTTTGAGGATGGATATAAAAATCTTGACCAATGGCCTTCATAGCAAGTATTTATCAATTACCTTTCATTTAATTATAGGAGGTATATTGGGAAATGTATTTCTAACAGCTACATTTTATGTGATGCTATGTAGTGGAGTCCTGGTGTGGTGCTGTAGGATAAGCCCTGGACTGTTAGCCTCAAGGTTGGTGGTTCAAACACACCATCTACTCCTTGGGAACACTGTACAGGATCACTATGAGTCAGAACCGACTTGACGCCACTGTAATTCGAATATTACCCTCAGACGTTAATAACTGATTTATCATTAACCAAAATATGATTTTGTTCTAATGGCTTTTGTATTTTACATTACAGGAGTGAATAATAAGTCTGCCCAAGTTCTACTGCTTTTAGTAATTCCTGGACATTTAATTTTCCTCTACACTATTCATTTGATGAAAAGTGGTCATACTTCTTTGACTGTAATCTTCATAGTTGTGTTCTTATTTGCTGCTGTACTACAGGTAAGAGTTAAAAACCTCTGGAAATACCTTTTATGCTTAGATTGCTAAAGGAGTTGTTGTCATTGTTAAGTGCCTTCGACTCAGTTTTGACTCAGAGCTACCGTGTATAGAGTTTCTGAGGAGGGGCTAGTGGGTTTAAACTGCTGATTTTGCAGTTTGCAGTCCAGTGCTTATCCAATAGCACCATACCAAGATTCCAGAGTATAACTGTAAATCTAAAGGCACATGGTATATTTTAACATTCCAGAAATCAACGGGATATGTTTGTATTGATTTGTGTTATAAAAAAAGCTCACACAAGTTTTAATGTAATCTAATAAGGAGTGTGATGGCTCCATAGGGTAAGCACCAGACTGCAAACCCAAGGTCTGTGGTTCAAGCCTGCTGGTCACTCCATGGGGAAAAGGTGAGGCTTTCTACTCCTGCAAAGATTTTTTTTAAAAAGCCTCCAAAACTCTATATAGGGTTGCTATGAATCAGAACCGAGTCTTGGAGTTAACGCCTCAGTGATTTACCCATTGTGCCACCAAGGCTCCTGGGATCGCCAGGAGTCTGAATCAACTCCACAGGAAGGAGTTTCATTTAATTATTAATTTCATAATGCAGTGTGCTTTACAGGCTACATTGTTTAGCTTAATTCTTTCAGTAACCATATGAGAGATGTTAATATACGAAGGTAAGTCAAACAGTGGTGCAATAGGGTTCCAGTTTATATATGCATGGGTTGATTCTAAACAAAACATGTTGAAACATGTCTCTGCAATCTGTAATATACTGTCTTAGTCTTAGTAGGGTTCCTTCAAAAAAAAAAAAAAAAAAAATCCAAACAGTGATTTCTAAGGGGTCACTTAAATTATGGCAGAGACGTCACCTCAGAAGGCTATAGCAACTGATTTTGGGGATTCCTGAAGGGTCACTTTGGTAGATTTTCTGAAAGGACACAGGATGAGCACTGGAGCTCAATAAGAAAAAGTTGTAAGAAAATTGGAAAACCACAAGGAAAGTTGCATTGACCATTTGTTTTCCCATCATGACCTGCTTGTGCTTTGAGAGCAGCAAGGGCTGTACTAGGAGAATTTCATTGGGAAGCCTGACCCTGTCCACCATACGGCCCTGACCTTGTCCATTTAGGCTTCTGTTTTGCTTTTTTTTTTTAAAGTAAGCAGGAGTGATTTTATTTTCAGGGTTATTCAGTCAGCTCTGCTTCTACAAAAGTCCTCTTGCCTCATTCACATGTGAAGTGCTCAAGTCTGAAAATGGGAGACATTTTTTTCAATGAAAGAGGTTATTTTTCAAGTTGCGTATTTGTCAAGAAAAATTACTAAATTGCTAACAGTCTCACTGCTTACAGTTTGTCATTTTATTCATTAATTAAATAGACATTAATTTTAAGTTTGGAAATGTTTGTACAGTATACTTTTTTTTTTTTAAGGTTTTCATTGTGGATTGAGTGAAAATTTACAGGGCAGATCATCATTTTTGCATTCAACAAATCATATACGTGTTTCATTGCAATGATTATAATCCCCTTCATATATACCATCTCTTAAAAGTATTTCTCTCTATCCACTTTAGCTTTTTTTTTTTTTTTAAGAAAAAAAACACAACAACACTAAGGCATATATAAGGAGCTCTGGTAGCATAGTGGTTACAAATTGGGCTGCTAACCTCAGTGTCAGCGGTTCTAAACTACCAGCTGTTTTGCGGGAGAAAGATGAGGCTGTCTGTTCTTGTAAAGATTTACAGCCTCGGAAACCCTGTACAGGGTCACTATGAGTTGGAACCGACTCCACAGCACATAACAACAGCAACAACAACAAAGGCATATATAGTAATTTACATCTCCAAAGGGTACATTCTGCAAGTCTGCCTCTTAGCCACCAGCTCTTAGTCCCTCTCTTCCCATGAATCTAGAGTCCTCATCCTCTCCCCCTCTCCATGTCCCCAACTCTGCCTCCATCTCTGGCATCGCTGCTTCTCTGGATAAGGTCCTGCAATCTGCTTGTGCACTTCTCCCTTGATGATCCTAGGGTCCTCTGTTTTTGGACTGTAAACTGTAAGATTAACCACTCCCCTGTTTTTGTTACAAAACTTCTACCTTCATAATTGTGACAGTCGCAATTAGTCATGATAACAATTATTCACTACTGAATCATACGAATCTTATCCCCATCTCTTTTCACCAGACCCATCTAGACAAGATGACAGCTATTCAGTGGGGACTCTTTCTTTCCCCCATACTCTTAAACTAAACTCTGTTTTGAAACCTTGTAAACCAGTCACTTTGTGCCTTTATTGCCCCCTCATTTTTGGTAGCCAATGTCCAAGTTGCCCGCCCCTATCTACCCTGTGTACAGAGCGGATAGCATTGATACTTGATTTGAAAACTCTTTCCTTCTCTGTTGGTATTTAGAGTAACTACCGCTCTGAGTATAGGTCATGTTCATCAGATTGTAGCAATTTACCTTTGTTTCCTTTATAAAAAAATTTTTTGAGTCACTTAAGGATGCCAAACTGCCATTTTGACAGAATTAGGAGAGGACGTGGAACAGAGATATCATTGCTGATGTCAGATGGCTCTTGAGTGAAAGCAGAGAATACCAGAAAGATGCTTACTTGTGTTTATTGATGTAAAGTCATTCGACTGTGTGAGTCATAACAAACTATGGATAACATTGCAAAGAATAGGAATTCTAGAACACTTAATTGTGCTCATGTTAAATTTGTACACAGAACAAGAGGCAGTTGTTCAAAAGCAATCAGGAAGTATGGCGTGTTTAAAATCAGGAAAGGTGTGTGTCCGAGTTGCATCCTTGTAGCCATGCTTATTCATCAATATGCTGAACAAATAATCTTTGAAGCTGGATTATATGAAAAGTGTGGCATCAGGATTGGCGGAAGATTCCATTAACAATCTGTGATATGCAGGTGGCACAACTTGCTTGCTGAAGTCGAAGAGGATTGCAAGTACTTGATGAAGATAAAAAACTACAACCTTTAGGATGGATTACAACTCATTGTAAAGAAAACAAAAATCTGCACAACTGGACCAATAAACAATAGCATGATAAATGGAGAAGAATTGACATTGTCAAGGGTTTCATTTTGCCTGGTTTCACAGTCAACACTCATGGAAGCAGCAGTCAAGAAATCAAGTGACAATAGTGCCTTGGACAAATCTACTGCAAAAAACACCTTGAAAGTGATGAAAATGTTATTTTGAGGACTGAAGTGTTGTCTGATCCAAGTCAAGATGTTTTCAATTGCCTCATATATATATGAAAGCTGGGCAATGAATACAGAAGATAGGAGAAGAATTAATGCATTTGAATTATGGTGTAGGTTAAAAATATTGAATATGCCATGGACTACCAGAAGATTAAATAAATTTGCCTTTGAAGTACATTCAGAATTCTCCTTAGAAGCGAGAATGGCAAGACTTTGTCTCATGTACTTAGAACACGTTGTTAGGTGGGACCATTTCAGTGAAAAACATCATGCTTAGCAAAGTATATTGTTATTGTTAAATGATGTTGAGTCAGTACTGACTGATAGCATCCTCGTATAGGGTTTCCAAAGAGCAGCTGGTGATTTTGAAC